AAGGATATATAATATCAACAGGCGTTTCTAGATTGCTTCAAATATCAAAGAGAAATATATTCTGAAAAATAGCAGCTCAATAAAGAAATTTTTTTTGAAAAAAAATAGCAGCTCAATAAAGAAAGAATATCACTTTGAAATAATAGTAGCTCAATGCAAAAAACAATGTGGAAATGTTGAAATTGATGTACAAATCATGATATTATATAAAGTATATTTTATATAAAGAGAATGAACATTAGATTTGCTAAAATCACATTTCATTTATTAATATTAATGTGCCCTGATCAGTTTATTTGTTTGACCTAGTTATAGGTCTAAATATTATGAGTACATATAATATCTACTAACAGAAAACCACTATAGAAGATTGAAAAGAAAATTGCCACTTGATCTAATTGTAAGTCAACATTAATCAATATTATTAATTTCTAGGATAATTTATAATTTATATTTAATTATAATTATATTCTATTAGATTATCGTTACATATTATCTATGGAATTGATAATTAACTATTGAGTTGTTTTTCCAGCATGTCATTAATTTAATACCTATTCTAATAATAACTATTTTTTATGCAAACACAATATCTTTTGAAAATTTCTATAAATCAACTTCGACATAATAAAGATCAAACAATACGCACATTACTAGATTCTTAATCAAATTTTGAAAATTTTTGATATTTTTTAATAAAAATTGATCAATTATGTATTAGCGCCCCAATCGATGATCAAAAAATGACATTGTGCTTTTGATGCTTTCTGCAATAAAACTGGATTTCATTGTAAAATCTTTCCGTGATAGAATGGCATTTCAAGTAAAATCATCCTTGTTTATGTCATATTTGTACTACTTAAAATAATCAATATTCCTGGCTTGCAATAATATCTTAATTTGACTTATAGGTAGATCTAATTGAAATTGTTCAAATAACATAAATTAGACAAGTCACTCCTACATTGGTTCATTGGTTTTTCCGTGGTCACATATATATGAGACTATACTTTCGAGCTTGTGCACGCCATATAAACTGGTGCGAAATCAATATTACTGTCTACTGCCAGGAGATGTTCTTCATAATAAATTTTGATCTTTCAAATAAATAAGATTAGTTATAAGGTGGTTAGGAATAAATTTACATATGCGTGATATTATTTATGCTTGACTTTCAATAAATAAACTAAAACAATTTGGTTATTTAGAACGTACAGTTATATCGTGATTATATTCATGATTTTTGGTTCAATGTGATTTATAATATATATACTACCCAGTAAGCTTTTCCGATTTTGATTTATAATATTTAAGACAAAACAATTTATCATTTCTTATTGATATAATTATGGAATAATAATTTCGACCAATTATGCAGTTACATATAACACAAAATTCAGCCAAACTTGTAAAATGCTCATACACCAAGCCAAATCGGTAAACTGATTTTTTCTTAATCATTTCTCACAAAAACCCAATCCAAATTGAAAGTCGAACTGTAGGATCAATAGAATTTGTGTTTTTATAATAAAATAGAAATACTAATACAAAGTAGTAACTAACTGGAAAAAAATCTGGAACAATATAAAAAAGAAACCATTGTCCAAAAATAAATATTAGACGTTGAACCATAATTTTTTACCATAATAAGATGTTTAGTTTAAAAGATCTTTTTATATTTTGACTAAATGCCTATTGTATTTGTATTTGCTGACAATGAGTTTTAAGCTAAACTTGGCTGAATGATGAAATTTTAACTAAAAAATTATATGCATACGTTTATAATCTTAACATTAAGAAGTATCTATAAATAAATTCTCACAAATCTGTTTTATACATTAACACGTTAATCGCCATGTCAGTCATATATGTGTGGCATAAAAAATTGTGTTTTTCTATGAATTTTGACAAAACAATTTGTTCTTTGATACATTAAGTTTTCTCGGTGCATTTTTAAATAAATTATCTAATAAAGTTACTAGAGTTTGATATTGTCGTGGCGATTAACGTGTTAATATCCAGATACAGACGGTATTCACATATTTCTTGGGGGGGGGTAACACCATTATATATTTTTTATTTAATCAAACACTAGCCAATCACACAAAAATCAATATTTTTAAAATTCCCGCTAATTTCTCTAGCTATAGATATGCGCTACAATAAGTAGTACATACAATTATTTTTCTAAATCCTAGATGCCTTGTGAAAATGTCTGTGGTGCCTTCGTTTTTGAATATTTTGAGTATTTTTCTCTTTTCTCCAGATATAGACGGTGTTTGGTTATTTTATCAAAATAGACAAACTGTTCACATATTTCTTAAGGGTAACACGTTTGTAAATTTCTTATTTATTCAAATACTAGCCAATCACACAAAAATCAATATCATTAAAATTTCCTGCAAATTTCTTTAGCTATAAGCATGTGCTACAGCTGGTAGTATATGTAATTATTTTTCTAAATTCTTGCGCCTTGGAAATGTCTGTGGTGCAATCGTTTTTGAATATTTTCTCCATTTGCTAAATAACTATTAACTTTACTAAATAACTTTTTTCAATATCATAATTTTATCACCATTCCGTCCACCCAAAAAAATGACAAAAATCACGTTTTTCAGACTGTTGCAGTGGTGTTACCCCTTGATAATCATTTTTTGCGTTAGATAGATAAGATAACGCGTTGTCGGATATTTGTCGTTTTAATTCGAAAAATGAGGGAAATTTCTATTACTTTCCTGATGAGTTAATTTCTAAAATAAAAATCTACAAAGCAGTACATGAAAACAGCTGCATGATGATCAATATTTGACTTCCCACGACTACATCGTCTCTCGGCATCAATTTATATCTACATAGCACGTGTAGTAAAACTCCAACTCTATACATATAATGTGAAACAAACATCAGTTTAAGACTCAGAGATGTTGAAAGGTGAAAAGTTCATTTAAAAGTAAACATGCAAGTAGTTAAATTTATTTATCTAATGCCAACAATCCACGAATACATCATAGACAAATTGATGAGAACAAAACTAGTATTGTGATAAGTTTGTAATTAATAGAAATTTATTCGCGTTATTATAGTGGTAAATACTTTTTATATTTGTTTAAGCCTATGGAGATATTGAACAATAGAAATTGTTTGAATTGTGTTTTTAATTCCTATACAGTTAATTATTCTAATTTAAACATGCGTGTACCATGATATTATATATTTTAAATAAATATTGTTGTAACGGGAAGACATTAATGATAAATATATCAATTTATAAATATTCGCACGATCCGAGAAAACGTAAATTATAGCGCAAATATATTTTCAACTGCGGTTAGATAAAATTATATTTCATCTAAAACATATTAATTAATATTCCTAAATTCAATCAGTTTATTTTACACTATGTTTCGTTAAGTCGCCAAATAATAATAATATCCATATAACTATAAGTTTGCCTTTAAATTCAATATGATAATTAACTGTGTTTATATATTCATTTCAGTTTAATATATAGAGTTCATCAACTATTCTAAAATCTTTGTAGCATTTTTTTATTTTGGATCCTAAATTTTAAAATAATCATATACTGTCTAATTTTGGTGCCATATTTTAGTTAAGGCTAATAAAAAGAAAATTATAACTTATCATAACAAGTAATTAAAATTGTTTACATATATGGGTTAACAACTAAATTTGATAAGATTTAAGCAAACAATATGTTTGAGAAAAGCAGAAAATGATGAATTATTATATATATATATATATATATATATATATATATATAATTTATAGAAGCATTAAATTTTTGGAATGCAATTCAATTTTAAATAGTTACCAAAATAAGCATAAAATCAACTACTAAGGATAGCATTAAGCGAGGGGAAAATCTCTAAAATAAGATAGAAAAGAAAATATTGTCCAAAAATAAATATAAGCACGTTGAACCATAATCTTTTAAATAAGATGTTTAGCTTTTAAAAGATGTGTTTGTGTTTTTACTGGATGCACATTTGCTTTTGTATTTACTGAATTTAAACCTCATTTGTTAATTAAAATATATTATAAATGGAAGTATATGATCGAACTGATAAAATTCTTAACGTCTTTATTATTACAAAACGAACATCAATTTTACTATATATACCATTTTTATTGTTTTATGAAAAAAGCCGAATAATTCACAAATTTTTTAATAATAATTTTTTGAGTTGAAGACGACGTGAAATTTAAATGTTTTTTATTACTTTCATATTCTTGACCTTTTTAACACTTTGATAGAAAATCTAATCATCAATGTTATATTCCGAATGAGAAAAAACGAACTTGAATGCAAATTATATATTGGCACTTTTTAATTTTTAAATATTTCATTGAAGATAATCCACAGAAAATATATGTAGATAGATTATTATATAGAAAAAAATTGATTAAAAGAGAGATGGGGCGAAGTAAATCTAAATAATTTAAGATTAATTATATACAAAAATTAGGATTCAATAAAAATTAGAATCCAGCAAACATGTTATTATATTTCGACTCTATTATAAAAATAATATTATTGTATCTTCTTGAAATAATTTAAACCCATGAAGCACTTAATATAAATTATACTTCGATTAGATTAGTGATTTGAAAAAAAAGGTGCAATATAAGAAATAAACTGACATTGAAATGAAAGAAAAAGTAAGTCAGAATTTAGCATGCCTTCAAAGAATAAAGGCTTATTATAAAAATGATAATAACAATGAAAATTAAATATTGGATACCATTTCTTCTTCGATAATGAATATATATCGAATTTATATGTACTGTTTTATAATTTTCCTTAATATTATTACATGCAAATGAGAGCTTTCATATAAGAACATAGTCAAATTAAATATCAGTAATAGTTATATTACTATTATTCTGAATAGTTGTTGAAAACAATTTAACAATCTCATAATATAAAAAATATATTGTATAGAAAAGTATAACTTTATAAAACATGACTGATAACTAACCTTGCACAAGGCGACTCCGGTGTCAAGCTTGTCCATAAAATTAACAAAATTAATACAGAGTTCTGGATACAGGCAATTAAGCCATTCTGCTAAATCTTCCCTCATGGCAACGAGATATTCCTCACTAGACTTGAAAGGCCGGAAAGGCCGAGCCTCCAATAATATTGTGTTTGCCATTTTGACAGTTATCTTTTACCTCATTATTTATACACAAACAATTTTTGGTTAAAAAGTCCTAAGACGAATGTCAACAAAAAATTCACAGGGGTTTATCATAAATGGAGGATTATTTATTTCAACTTTAAACAGTGATTTATTAAAACATAACCTTGCACTACTTTCCATTTCATTTGTGTTTCTGATTATCACAAAGCGGTGAAGAATGATTGTGATTGCTTAATGTTACTTGGTAAACTTAAAATTTTCTTATCATGCTGTAAAGTTCAATAATAGATCAATCCCGAATTAAATTATTTACCAACAATTACATACTATTGAAAAAATAATTTTTAAGTCACAAAGTTCATTTTCAACATAAAAATTTAATATCGACCTCTTTGAAAAGAAGTTATTTATGCTATTTTATGGAAATTTAAAATTTTCAGTTATAAACATTTAATGTCAACTAGTCTATCACAACAAATCGTCTAAAATCACAACAATAAATTAATGCATGAATCGCGATCGAATTCGATCTGGAAACTGGTACTTCGTGCTTCGATACACATGCGTTTGGCTTTGGTGGGGTAAAGCTCTCTTCGTATATTCTCGTTCTACAACGACATAAGTCGGATGATTTTCGTGTAGCTTCATGGTAGCTTCCCTTGCCCAAGAAAACAATATTAAAGAATAATAGTCTTTTATTTATTTACAATTAAACAATATATAATAATAAATGTGTATTTTTCTTTTAAATAAGAGTTAAGTTATATACTACTTTTTTAATTCAAAACTATATCCTTAAAATCTCGCCTCGTTCGTTATTCATCAATTGATCAACTCTCATTTGTTTTTATCTACAACAACTTATGGTTGGCCGTTGTACACAACTTATTAATCTTATGACAAGTATCAATATTTAAACCTTAATAAATGTTAATACATGTTCTGTAAATATATCAAAGCATTAAAATTAAAGACTTCCATTATGATTGACATAAAAAGTTATGAAGAGAAGGAACGTGCAAGTAATATTCTATTATTAGTATTTATTTAATATCTTTTTTTAAGGTTATCAATAATCAATGAATATTAATAATTTAAATAAATAAGATATTTCAATATTGAATTAAATTTTGGAAGAGAATAGCCACCGATACAAGAAAAAATGATTTAATTGATTTTAATACAGTTAATTATAAAACAACACAAACAAAATTCAATTAACTAGTTGACCACGTTACTAACGCCAAAGTTCACTAGAAGTTATGTCGTTGTGTTGGTATTAACCATTTTCGAACATAACTGTCTTCGATATTACTGTTTTTCACAAGCTTAGGCGGCATTAAAGAGTGTTGTTAATTTATTAAAGTAGTTTATTTCATTCCATAGTTTTATACACATTTTGCCGCTAATGATAATCACTTGTGCATCTTGCAAGTATTTTTGCAAACTTTACATGAATTAATTATTGCTATTGTAACCTAACTTTATTTGTTTGTTTCTAAAGAATCAAAAATGGGTGATTTTGTCAAAATAGAAAAAATCGGTGAGGGTACGTATGGTGTAGTATACAAAGGGAGAAACAAGATCACTGGAAAAATAGTAGCAATGAAAAAAATCCGTCTTGAATCTGAAGACGAAGGAATTCCTTCAACTGCCATCAGGTCATTATCAAATATGTTGATTGTTCTTTTATGTTGTTACAATTAAGTATTGTTTATATTCTTCTGATGGGCTATTTTATTTGCAGAGAGATTTCTTTACTAAAGGAACTTCAACATCCCAATATCGTTGCTTTAGAGGACGTTTTGATGGAGGAAGCTCGATTGTACCTAATATTTGAATTTTTATCTATGGATCTTAAGAAATACATGGATCAGTTAGGTCAAGGCAAACTATTATCCCCAGAATTAGTTAAAAGTTATTTATACCAAATTACACAGGTAGTATTAATATATGGCTATATATATATTGATTAGACTTGGTTTCTGATTAATTTATTATCTTTTATGACATTTCAAATTGCAAATTTTGTGTCTAAAACTGATTCGATTATATGAACAAAATCATTCATGAAATATTTTACATTCAACGGATTTCATTATATATTACTAAACTTCTTGTGATATGAGATATCATATCAACTTGAGATATTTAACATATCTATTGTATAATATGTGTTTGAATTATTAATCAAATTGATGATCAGCAATACTTAAATCTTTACATAATATTCAGGCGATATTATACTGCCATCAACGCAGAATTCTTCATAGAGATTTGAAACCACAAAATTTATTGATTGATAAGAATGGAGTTATTAAAGTAGCCGATTTTGGTTTGGGTCGTGCTATTGGAATACCAGTCCGTGTTTACACACATGAGGTTGTTACTTTATGGTATAGAGCACCAGAAGTATTATTAGGATCTACAAGATACTCTTGTCCTGTGGATATGTGGTCCATAGGCTGCATTTTTGCAGAGATGGCTACTAAGAAGCCTTTATTTCAGGGTGATTCCGAAATTGATCAACTATTTAGAATATTTAGGTAGTTATAAATAAATTATATACTTTTTGTCATTCAGTTCTATATTCTTATTCAAATCATAAAAATCATCTATATAAAAATGAATATTCTAGTTATATTTAGTTTATTTTGAAAATTATTTATTGCAATATATTTTATATTATTTTTTGAATAAATCATTTAATACTTATTTTAGAGTACTAAAAACTCCAACAGAAGAAATTTGGCCTGGTGTCACGAGTCTACCTGACTATAAAGCAACTTTTCCTAATTGGACCACCAATAATCTTCGTACTCAAGTAAATATTATTAAGGCAAAATATATCTTCCAACACCAATTAATCTATTATAAATTTTAGGTTAAAAACTTGGATGATAGTGGATTAGATTTACTAGAAAAAATGCTGGTTTATGACCCAATTTATAGAATTTCAGCTAAAACTGCATTAGACCATCCATATTTTGAAGGTCTTGATGAAACAACTTTGCCGAATATAAATTAATATATCATCAAATAATTTATTCATAAAATGCCTCCCGAAGGTTATAAAATATGTAAAAAAATAATATGCATACAAATATTTGTATTTGCTGTAATAATTTATAACAATTTGCTCTATGAGCATTGATTCTTTTAATTGTTCATAAAATCATGAATTTCAATCCTACTTTTCTATCCAACCTAAATACACAAGCAGCATTATTTTATAATCTAACAGTTTTTTCTTTCATTTTTTTGTTCGAAATTTTTTACAGAGTGAATTTACACCATTTATTAGACAAATGGCATTGTAATATAAACTATCAATGACAATTTGCTCAGACTGATGTAGACTGAATCCTCTTTCATGTCTTTTTCCTGACGATAGTGAGGCATTTTTTGTGCCTCCTCCTCTTTATAGATAATAAATATTATAATATATAGGCATAGTTATAATTTTCCGTAGAGACTAACTTTGGAAATGCAAAAATCATTAGCTCAAATAATGTAATGTGATTATGTATCTATGTGTATGGATATAAATCTACTACAATGAGTCTTTAATTCACTCCAACAATTAGAATCTACTACAATGTTGTAGATTGTAGAATTAAAAATATAATTCATTATTTCCTTCTAACTTATGTGTCCACTTCTTTTAATTAACTATTTGGATGCTTAATACAAACGCGAATGAGCGCAGATACCGCTAAAGACTACATAATATTGCATATCATTATTTTATATAAGAATATAATATATAAGCATGAATTATATTTCTGCAAAAATTGAAATATACTATAAATTTGAATTTTAAATTTCCCGCTTTATTATTTTATAATCGCTTCTGACTTCACGTCTCATATTTTTATTTGACACTGAATATTACGTGACGTCACTGAACATTGTTTTGCTGATACACGTGGAGTGAAGTGGTTGTGCGTTTGTATTTTACTTTATTATTTCTTTTTTTTTTTTTTAAACTAGTTTTAAGAACAATATGAATGCGATAAAAAAAGAGTGGTTTAGTGAGTTAAGTGATTTATGGCCTGGGCAATGTATGTCCCTGAAAGTTAACAAAGTTCTACATGAAGAAAAATCAGATTATCAAGATATTGCAGTTCTTGAAACGTTAGTTTTTTCTAATACTTTCTTTATTAATTTAACTATTTCTTTATTATAATTCTATTCATTTAAGTTTTTTATATTATATATTATATAATGTGTGGTACATTTTCATATATAAATGTATATTTAACTGTAAACGATGTTAAAGTTCAAGGTTCATTGATAACTCTATGAAATGTTTATCTGATAATTATACAAAAATTTTCTTCTAGATCCAATCACGGACGTGCCCTTATATTGGATGGTATCATTCAATGTACCGAACGGGATGAATTTGCTTATCAAGAAATGATTGCTTTTATTCCTTTATGCATACATAAAGATCCTAAAAAAGTAGGTTTATTGAAATTTTCTAAAGTCTTTGTTTTTGATTTTATTTAATATTTCATACAAAGTAAGAATAGAAAATTAAATTAATGACTTTTAATAAACAATGAATTTTTTTTGTTTATTATATTATGATATTTAAGTTGAAACTTAATGGTATTAAATGATCTTTTAAATTAAATAATCTGTTGATATAAAAACTTATTTCATCACTTACTATTAACATTCAGGTTTTAATAGTGGGAGGTGGCGATGGTGGAGTTGCTCGTGAGGTTGCAAAACATCCTCTGGTGCAAGAAATTCATCAAGTAGAAATTGATGCAAAAGTAATAGAAGTTTCTAAAAAGTACCTGAAATTTATGGCTCAAGGGTTTGATTCTCCAAAGCTGCATCTGCATGTTGGTGATGGCTTTGAATTCATGAAAAATCGTGTTGGAGAGTTTGATGTTATTATTACTGACAGCAGTGATCCTGTTGGACCTGCTATAACATTATTTCAAGAAAGCTACTTTGCTTTAATGAAATCAGCTTTGAGGCCAGGGGGTGTGGTTTGTTCCCAAGGAGGGACCATGTGGACTAGCCTTGATCATATTCAAGATACAGTAAAACACTGCAGGAAACAGTTTCCTAAGGTTGGTTACTGCACAATTTCTGTTCCTACATATCCATCAGGCCAAATTGGATTTGTAGTTGGAGCACTAGATAAGGTAGATTAATAGTTTACTAATACAATTACTAATCCAATACAAGCTTGTTTACAACTTGAATTATTTTCAGAATTGTGATTTGTCCACACCAAATCTTAAATTTACTGAAGAAGAATGTGACAAATTACAGCTTCGCTATTATAGTAGTGATATTCACAAAGCATCTTTTACATTGCCACGATTTGTTAAAAAAGAATTGATGTCTGTATTATGATTATCATTGTGATATGTTATATATCACTGTTATTTTCTAAACCATAATAGGCGAAGGGGTAATGCAATCAGTTAATTATTAATGATTTATATTTTTTTACATATTATGAAAAAAATGAGAGTATATTTGATAAATAAAGAATATATATTTTTAATAGGCACCATAGGGCCTTAACATATAGATCCTACTATCTGAGATAACGCAGATCTGTAAATGATTAGAATTTAAATAAAAATGATGTTACAATTTATAAATTTCATTTATTTTGTAACACTATAATATAATTTTACTAAATCATCTGTTGTAGCAGGATACTGTGTTACTGGACACCTTGAATATTTTTTTAAATGCGTTGAAATGCATTTATAGCAGTACACATACCTATTTATGATAGATCACCATTAAAAATAAATCATAGGAGAATAAGGAAATCTTATTAAATAATTTCTAAAAATATTCCTAAACTGAGACAATTTTAAATATATAAAAAATTTATTACCCAGAAACTTGTAGAGCAGTTGGCACATTCCATGTCTGCAAACACACAGGGCATTTTCCATAATATTTTACTGCCCTACCATCAATTTGTGGTGGAGGTGGATTAGGTAATGCAGCAATATTAAACTGATAATTATCTGATGACCATGATTGGAAAAATTGTATGAAGAATGCACTAACTTCAAAAAGCCTTAATAGACCTGAACCAAGAGCAGTTGATATTCTGAAAATTGATTGTTTAAAAATATCAGAGTAAACATAACTGCTTTAGGTATATGAAAATAATTTAAATAATTACTTAATTTTATTAGTAAAAAGATCAGTCCATGACCAACTTGATTGTAGATGATTTGATGGTGCATATACTAAATTAATCTTGCAAAATTTTAATAAGGTTGAATGGTAGTTTGTTGCACCTGATACATATGCTAATAATTGAATCAACTCATAGCCTTTCCAAGCGAATTTAATTATATTGAGCGTATATATAAATGTTTCAAATCTTGCATAAGTATTTTTATTTTCATTCTTAAGATCAAGAAGTATTTTGCTTTTACTTTCAATCTTCTTGAATATATAAGGCAACAAAACAACACATGCTAAGGATAAATATCGTTTCTTGGTACTCAAACTTGGTAAATCATTGAGTGCATTTGTACAAACTCTTTTCAATCCATAAAAAGATTCAGAGAATGTTGCATCTGAAAATCATTAGCAAAAATATAATTTACTATGTTGTACTTGTGAATAATGTACAAGTATGTTATAATTTATGTACCATAATTTTTGATATAGTAATACTCTATCAAGCCACTAATTAATAAGTACAGTTCATCGTAATACAATAATATTCTATTGAAATATTCAGGTCTTGTTGTAGCTAAAAACTAAAAGTAAAATATGAAATGTGAAACAATCATGAAATGTTCTACAATTACCTCAATAAGTTTTTTAAAAGCCGGATCGATTGTTGCAGCAAGAGATTCTTGAGCTATGATTTCAAATATTGTTGGCTTTATTTGAGTTGTTACTGAAAAATGTACTGCGGTTTCCGCCATAATTGTTAATTAAGCTAGTATTATTTAAATGACATGCTCTGTGATATAAATAAAATTACAGAAATGTTCTCAACTTCTTAGATGAAATGACAAACACAATGCTTTTTTTCGGAACGAACTTTGGACCAACGACTTAGTATACATTTTAGAGATTTATACATCTATTATCTATGTAAGCAAATTTAATGATTTTTTTGTCATAATAATATAAACCGACGACCATTTAAATCATAATTCATTCGGTTTTAAATTAACAATAATAGTCAAAATCCAAACAAATCGTTGACAGTTGTCACATGTCAAATTTGCTTATATTATAGGTTAGTTTAATCAATGTGCAAGGGTGCTGAAAACTGATCCAGAATTCATTAGTATTTGGTTTAATAAATTTTGTAGCAAAAATGCGTATCTCTCAAATGTTACTAAGGTTTAAACTTCCAAATGGGCATATTTTTAGAGGAAAGTATCGCCTTGTTAAACCAGTGAGTAACCGATCATTAGAAACTTTGCGGAAAGATTATGAACGAGAAGAACAAAACATGTTCTATTTGAGGCATCCGTACCTCACAGAGGTATGAATTTGTGCTTAATTTATAATTAGCGATAAAATTAACGTATATTTTTGGAATTAGGAACAATCTGCAGGACATGCAAAGGCTTTAGGAAAGACGACTTCTAAAATTGAACTCTGGAATAATACTAAACGTTTACATTTTAAAGATCATGTTAGGATAGAAGATCGATTGAATCATTTAAAGGTTTCAGAAGCATGGGAGTGAAGCTAATACTTAGTTACATTATATAGCAATTTAGTACAAATGTTTTGATTTATCTGAAATATATTCTAATGAAAGCACTACATTTTCTTTCAGTTATAAAAATATATTGTGCTTTGTAAGCTAAGTCCATTTTTATTACTTTGTTACTTTTATTACTAGATTTAGTCTTTATGAGATCATTCTATTATAACAAAAGTATTTAAAATAGGACTAGTTACAGCTCTTAACCTAAGTTGAACATTTATAAATAATAAGTGTATGGGCCGAAGACGTGAATCAATAAATAAAATATGTATAGCTCCCAATATAGTGTGCACAAATACTGAGTATAATACTATATAGTAATAATAAAGTGTAGTCAATGAAATAATAGTTCATTCATCCCTATAGTTCAATTCAATTGTATGAATTTTCAATATTACAAATGTATCAAATCAAACCATGCCTCAAATCAAATAAGAAATAATGAAGATGCAAAACTAGATTAAGAGTGACTAATTATTAAATCTTTTATTAATTAATATATAGCTATTTATACACAGCATTACATAATTGATTAAAATGTTTGTGTTCTGTATTCTTTAATTATTGTTTATTAAATTAAATTTAGGCAGTATAAACTATAAAAATATAAAGTCAATATAATATAAAGTAAATTTGATAAGTTTAAAATTTTCGTGGAGTTATTCTCATTTGCGTTTGCGTGTGTATGATGCGCGACTTAATTCCCGAGTCTTGTACAAGACAAAACGTTCATAGTGCAGTGATGGATGCGCAAGTGTGAAACTTAAAACCTAATTAATGGGTTTAATACGAGGTTTTAATTAATAAATAATGTTTTATAAATTGAGATAGAAAGTACAAAAAAATAAAAAAATGTAAATTAATAGAACTTTTGATAGTTCAGACTAACACATTGTGACATCAAACACAATTGCCCGACAATGCATCAAAATTGTTTAATGGTTAATCATGATTTTATTAATAATACTTGAGGAATACAGCTATTTTTGGTAGTACGCTAAATTTAAGTGAATAAATGCATCATATTATTTGAAATGGCTACTGCATCTGGTAGTAAAAATCAATATTTTTCTATTGACGACGCATTTGAAGAAGAAACCGACGAAGCCATCAAAATATACGGCTTAAGTAACAGCAGATTACAATCCTGCGAGAGTATTTCAAATGCGGAACGAGGTTTTTGCAACACAAATAGGTTGGTTATTAATATACTATTACATTTGATATGATACTTCATTCATACTTGATTCTTTAATATTGCAGAGGCTTTAAACATGTTGCAGATGATGCAACATCCAAAGATAGTGATTCATTAATACCTGAATATGCATATCCAACAAGTCAAGTAGGAAATGGATACTGGTGGCAACATCCTAAAATACAAGAGAATTGGAAAACAGTTTTGTCAGCTGTAATTTTGTTACTAGTTGGTATTATATTGTTGTCATTGGGGATAGTGGCTATGTTGAGGCCGGAAGACGGCTTACATTGGGCAGTATTCTTATTAGCTGGCCTAATTTGCTTCATACCTGGCGCTTACCATGTGGTGTATATTTGGCTTGCCGCTAGTGGCAAGAGAGGTTATGATTTTCACCATTTGCCTTTATTTACATAAATATACAACAAAGACTACTGGTTTTTAACATAGTGAGCGAACTTCTAAAATGTAATAATTTATAATATGATAATTACAAGAAGGCAACTATTTTTTCTACAGGAATGATATTTTACTAATAATGTGTATTTGATAACGGTTAACAAACCCAGGATAGCCATGAGATAATAAAAGTTAAGCTAGATCTCCCAATTATAATATTTTTCTTTAATGAGTGCAATATATTTGTGAATGACTTGCAGTATAGTTATTGCTCCACAGTAAATACTTTTCAGTATTGCTCTCTTGATTAAAGTCGCATATTACTTTTGAATAGTTATGAAATAAGAATGAGTACTTAAATGCAACTAAGGTAAATGAAATCTATATTTTATGAACAGGTGATCCCAAGGCTGACTTTATGCTAAGATACTAGAATTTTTAATGTGTTCAAAAAGTGTGAATTTGGATTAGTTGATACTTAATTTTATGATTAGTAGATATTGCAACTAATATTATAAATTGTTTCACAAAAGTGTAGCAATGTATCAATATAAAACTCATATTGCTGAATTAACATTATAATATATTTTACATTTTGTATTTCAAATTGAGTGCTGTTATAATAAATATACTCTAGATGAGAAATTAAGCGATAGCAGCTTGTTTTGTATGTCTAAGTTCTTGAAGGTAATGTCTTTGAGTCGGTTTATGCAATTCAAGCTGAACCAATGCTTCATCTATTGAGAACCTAAAAATATGTAAAGATCAATTAGAAGGTACTATTCAAAAACAAGCAATTCTGAGTGCCTTTGAATATACCATTGTCGCTTACGTCCTATTGACCGTGAGTCTTCCCATTCTGCAAGTTCATGAGTTACTGTCATTACAAATACTTCAGTCCTGTGCATATGTTCCCGATTCTACAAATAAACAAAATGATCATATTCTGCAAATCAGTTATTGAAGAACATTGCTTTCTATTTATAGTACCTCAAAAACACCCAGACTCCGTCCTAACTTTCCAACTACGCCCGCTTCTTCTAATACCTCACGCAAGGCAGTTACAGAAGGTTCTTCCTCTGGTTCCACGCCCCCTCCTGGGACAATCCACAAGTCGGGATGTCTTGACGATGTTACAAGCAATACCTGTGTTTTCGTATGTAATTAGCATCAAGTACTGTACTTGTACAATAAAACATTTTTTACCTCAACTTCGGCTTCGGACCGCACGCAAATACAAGCAGCTCTCCTTCGAAAGCCTTCATCATCATATATCCTAATCGAATTTGGCTTTTCTTTGACCATTTTTAACAAGTAAACTTATGATATATGATAATATATTTAACAAAAATATATTTTTCAATGACTAAATTAAAGAATCACCAATAAACGGTGAATTATTTAACATTTAAGATACGGCAGCCATGATTTAATAAAATATAGTACTTGATACTTTCAATAACATATCTATATATTATTATTGTTTAATAAAATAAATACATTAACACTAATCTATCACTATTGTATCACGACAAAAACACTAAAATATACACACCAATTAAGTAAAATATTTTCGAAAACTAGCTTGTTAAAGTATGAAACGCATCCATGTTGATTTGCAAATGGATGGAACGAAACGATTTAATATTTAATAAGTAATAAATCATCAAAGCACCGAGATTTGCATATCAACAACAACATGACATTTATATGCATTGTAAGAATTTTGGTTTTAGCAAATTTACAGCAATCACCAAAAATTATCTACACAATCAACTAGTCAAGTTTTTTCTGACAAGAGACGAACCACAGTCAATCAATTTTGACAAACAACAGGTGTTGCCACAGATGAGTGAAATGACTTATAATTCTTGTATGGTTATGTTTCAACTTCAAAGCGAAACGTTTTTTGCAGTTTGACAGTTCTGGAATAAATAAAATGGTTTGGTTTGACGGTTTACCCATTTATAAACCATTTATAAATGAACTTAAAAATGTGATTATAAACATTATTTTAATTTTAACAAATCAGTTCTTTATTATCGAATATTATTCATAGATGTGATATATATGCCGCCGATTAATATTTTAATTAGATTTTATTCGAGCAAAATATTCGAGATAACAACTAAGATGAAATACTTAAATGTCGCTGAGAAAAATGATGCTGCGAAAAATATTGCTAATATATTATCCAAAGGCACATCAAGGAAGGTTTGCTAACATAATATATGCTCTCATTTAAACTCATTGTTAGGATGTATACGCAAGTAACATATTTTTTTCAAGACTTATTTTGATATTTTTTTATATAATTATTTCAGCGTGAGGGACGTTCTGTTTACAATAAAATATATGAATTCAACTCAAATGTGCTTGGGCGTGATGTAACAATGATAATGACTTCTGTATCTGGACATTTATTGAATTGCGCATTTGACCAATCTGTTAAAGGGTGGCAAAGTTGTGATCCTGTGAAACTCTTTGATGCACCAGTTTATAAAGTTTGTCCAAAGGACTCTCTAAATATAAAAGTAGGGCCTAATTAAATTCTCAATGCTGATAATAATATTGTTATATTATAATCAGTTGACATTGTAGTTTTAATCATTTTAAATTTTTATTGTAGGCAACATTAGAAAGAGAAATAAGAGCATGCTCTGCTTTAATAATTTGGACTGATTGTGATCGAGAAGGAGAAAATATTGGATCAGAAATAGTTCAAGTAAAATATTTGAATAAAATAGTAGATAACAATTAACATACATTTATATATAGTTTTTTTTCTTAATTATTTCAAATTCCTATTGCAAAACTAATAAAATTAGTTTTCAGTTTTTATTTTATATTGTTTGTTATAAAGTATTATCAATTATATTTAAATTTTAGGTATGTAAGGCTGTTAAAAATAATATTAAGATATATAGAGCAAAATTTTCTGAAATAACTAGTACGTCCATAAATAGAGCTCTTCAGAATTTAACAGATATTGATCAGAATGTTTCAAATGCAGTAGATGTTCGTCAAGAATTAGATCTTCGAATAGGTAGTAAAAATGCAATATACAGATTGATGTTCAAGAATGATGAATACAATAGTAGAAAATTATTGCAGGAGCTGCTTTTACAAGATTTCAGACTATGCAATTACAAAGAAATGTTTCAAGACATGTATCAAATCAGTTAATCAGTTATGGTTCTTGTCAGTTTCCGACATTAGGTTTTGTAGTTAAAAGGTTCAAGGAAAATGAGGACTTTATCCAAGAGTTTTTCTGGAAATTAAAAGGTAAACACTTGCATTTATATGGATACAAGAGCCTTAAATAAGATTTATCAATATTGATCATGTCTTGCTTATAAATAAATAAATGTATGAATTGAAATTATTTGTGCAAAACTGTCTTTGCAAGTGTTTATATATATATCATAGTCAAAATGATTACTTTCAGTGATTCATACCGTTAAAGACTTGTCTGTGGAATTTAAGTGGAAAAGAAATCGCTTATTTGATGAAGGTACTTGTATTGATTTATATCACAATTGCACTTCAAACCCTGAAGCGAAAGTCCTTAAAACTGATGGGAAGCGAAAAACGAAATGGAGACCCTTACCAATGGATACTGTAGTAAGTTAATACTAAAATTCATAGTATTACTGTTATTTTAGAATGTTTTCCTTTTATCAAACTGCTTTATGTGCTGATAATATTTTTTATATATCTATAAAAATATATATTATTATATTTAAGGAATTTGAAAAATTATCTTCCAAAAAATTAAAGATAAATGCAAAAGAAGCAATGAAAATAGCTGAGAAACTGTATACGAGAGGTTTTATTTCGTATCCTAGAACTGAGACAAATATTTTTCCCAAAGACTTTAATTTAAGGTATTTCTTATTGGTTATATAATTTTTTGTAACATTACTTTAATTTAATTTTATTTAAACACATTTATACTTGTTGAATCTATTTTGAAGAGTATACTGAAATTTTAATGAGTTATTATTGATATGCTGAATAAATAGCATTTTTTAATAATTTTAGTCAATATGTAGAAAATCAGTGTGATGATTCCCGTTGGGGTGAATTTGCAAGGAAAATTTTGAATAATGGCGGGCCTAATCCAAGACAGGGAAAGAAGTCTGATCAAGCCCATCCTCCTATTCATCCAGTTAAAGCTGCATCAGGTAAAATTATAAATGAAGTTAATAAACTATCATCAATGTAATCTTCTGCTAATAATCTGTTTCACAATAAATTGCAAACTTAAAAGATTAGCACTTCTAGATTATTCTACAACTGATAATGAGACTGTAATATGTCTATAATTTTAGAAGATATATCATTTTCAAATTTGTAATTTTTTTTTTTTTGTAGTTATTTAGGTTTTATTTACATATTTGCTTTACTTAATTTTATTTAATTGAAAATTGCGTTCTAAGGATTGACAGGAAATGAAAGTCGTGTGTATGAACTTATTGCTCGCCATTTTTTGGCTTGTGTTTCTGCTGATGCTGTCGGCTTTGAGACCAGTTGTGAAATTGAAGTAGGTGGAGAGTTTTTCTCAGCTACTGGACTATGTATATTAGAGAAAAATTACTTAGAAGTTTATGTGTATGAAAAGTGGAATTCTACAGAGATACATAATTATGAGGTGAGTTTGGAGAAAAATTATTTGAGAATTGATATTCAGCAAGAATTCAATAAATCAATGCTCTGAAACTTTATTATTTTGAATTTTAAGGTAGGACAAAAGTTTACACCAACGAGTATTCATTTAGATCCTGGAGTCACCACACCTCCGCCACTATTAACAGAAGCCGAATTAATTGCACTGATGGATAAACATGGCATAGGTACCGATGCCACTCATGCAGAACATATTTCAACTGTGAAAGACAGACTTTATGTTGGAGAAGGAGAGGACAGGAGATTGGTACCCGGTATTCTTGGCATGGGATTAGTGGAAGGGTAATTTCGTTTCTACCATGATATATATTTAGATATAAATATATATATATATATATATATATATATATATATGTATTGTGTATCTTTATATTTTAGTTACCAAAAGGCAGGTTTGGAAATGGCAAGACCGGATCGCCGCGCTGCTTTGGAGGCAGATTTAAAATTGATATGTGAAGGTCGCAAAGATCCTAATGAAGTGCTTCGTCTACAGGTAGTTAAGTTATTTTACAACAAGTACGATTACAAAATAGAATATATTTATTACTTATTTTCTTTCAATTATATGTGAATTTTTGTTATGCAGGTTGCTATTTACAAAGAAGCTTTCATTAAAATTGTTCAAAACTATAATGATTTAGAAAGAGCAGTTGTGGATCGATTTGAAGATCGCGGTTTAACTAGACGTGAACCTAAAGTTCCATATAGGCCTGAAGGAGCAGGCCCTCCGGCGAAATTAGAATTTAAACCTTTTCGGAGGGATGATGATGACGGTAAAACATTTTCGTAAATTATATATTACATAACGAGAAATTCATAATTTTTTATTTATCTCAATTTTAAACTAATATATCGAAAATATATTTCAATGGTATTATTTGTTTTTTGATGTAAATTGTTTTTTTTTTTTTGTTTAGATGATAGTGGATTTGGCGGACATGGAGGTGGTGGCGGAGGCGGTAGCGATAACAGACGTGGTGGTGGGTATGTATAATTTATTATTTTGTTGTGATAATTTATCACAATTAGAGTCAGAAATAAACATACTTCTGTTTATTTTCTTTTCAGTGGTGGCTTCTCTAATCATTCAGAAACAAGAAATTCAACAAAAAGTAATACTTATTCAAGTTATCAATCTACATCAGGTGCATATTCCTCTGGTTCATCTTCACGAGTTACCAATGATAATAGAGGTAACAATTTGTTAATTAAGTTTTTGAGCATATGAAGTATAATAGTGTGTTCTCAATTTTATTATTTGCAGATAATTCCTTTTTCCCAAATAAATCAGATGACAAAACTAGTTCACATGGTGGTGAAACTGACTTTAATATAAATGATGATTTTGATTGTATGATTACAGGTAAAATTATTATTAATTTTGTTGAAATATTAATAACTTCTACAAATATTATACTATTTTTTATATTATTTTCCTGTGTTTTTTTTTCAATTTTTAATTATAAAATTTAAAATTTACTATATATTTTTTTTCAGATATGGATTGGGACGATAACTTTAATGAAAATGGTATTGTTGACAGCAGCATACAACAGAACGATAATAGCAACTCAAATTACAGCAGTACCAAATTTACTCGCAATTATAAAAGTCTAAGGGCACAAACGGAAAATAAAGACTTTTCAACTAATCAGAAACAGACATATGGAGGAAACAGTTCCAGCTGGCATCAAACTAAACATTCTAATAGAAAGCAAAATGATGAAAAAGAGGTTTTATGCAGTGGCTGCCAAGAACCAGCTAGAAAGTAAGAAAAAAAATTTTACAATCATGATATACTCCTGCATATTTTATACTGAGGATTGTTGATTGATATTTTTTAGACAGACTGTAAAAAAAGAGGGTCCAAACAAAGGTAGAAAATTTTATGTATGTCCCAAACCTATGGAACAACAGTGTAAGTTCTTTGAGTGGGCCGAAGATGAACCTGAGCATGATAGCAATGAATCAAGTAAGCACTAAAATAAGGAAAAGTATACATTTTTAAGATATAGAGATATACAAACATATATGCTATGTAAATTTTATTATAGCTAACAACTGGTCAAGTAAACCTTCAAAGTCCAGAAAGACTTCAACAACAGTTTCAAAGAGAAAAACAACTTCTAAGGCAACTGGTACAAAAACTACTTCAAAAAGAAAATGTGGCCAATGTCGACAGGAAGGACACACAATTAAAAATTGTCCAAATATTAGCCATGTATGATATCTCAAATGAAAAATGAGACGGTAATAATTGTTTTAATTTTTTTTAACATGAGTTTTAAGCATTACATTTTAAAATAACACTATATATGTATGAACATATGTATATATATATATATATATATATATATATATATATATGACTCAGTGAAAGGAAAATGTAAATACTACCGTAAATATTTTGTTTGTATCTGAATATCTATTTATTGAAAATTTGTTACTTTGTTAATTGATTTTTTATGTACAGTATTAATTGTAGTTACATTTTTTTAATTTCATGTAAAGAATTATCTATCAAAAAATAAATGTATGTAATATAAGCCCCAATAAGACTTCAATCCGGCCATACAGTATCCACGATCCATTGTTTAGCAAAGGCAATCCTAGTGTACACTGCAGGTCTATTAATGACACCACATGCTTTTCCAAATGATGTAATTCCTAGAAATAATAGTTAAAGAAAAATATCAAAACTTAATGAACTTGTACATATAATTTTTATTAACTAACTAATAAATATGTACAATACCTATAATATCATACATGCAGTATGGCGATGTTCTGTAAACTTGAAGTGGGCCTCCAGAGTCACCCTAGAATGGGTATATTTTAATCATTTCGAACGTAAATGAATAATTGTATCATCATGAATTTAGGATAATTGTATCATCATGAAGTAGGATAATATAAGAAATCTGCTTTATTAGAGCATATACCTGACATGTATCCAATTCTTCACTGTGAGATCCTGCGCATAATTGTATCAAATCGTCTATACCTCGTCTCAATTCACGATGTCTACTAAAAGATTGATTGCATTCGGATTGAGTGAAAAATTCTAATACTACCTAAATAAAACATATAAAGGTCAAAGTTAAGAATTGAGAAGTTAAAAATTATTGAAAACAATATTGTCTAAGTATAATAAAAAAATATTTTCAGACATACTGTTGATGAACAAATATGATATTGTATGCGAGTGGACTTACTTGACATATACAATTTATTTATATAATCAGTCAATATTGCCGTTGTTCCGAGACTATTTTCCTAAAGTTAAAATAACAATATAAAGAAAATATTGGACGTACCTTCATCAGGATCTCGCTAGCATTACCTTCGTGCTGCGTATGGCCCCAGCCAGTTGCTATAGCTTTTTTATGAGTGATTTCATTATTTTTTGGTAAACAGATTGGTATTACTTGCTTGTTTAAGTTCACTCTGAATACAAAAATAGAAAGTAAAATAGTCATTTTTATTCAGGTTATGATGATAAAACTACCAAATTGATTCAAGTTTTTATTGATTGCTATGTAGTGCTAGATCAAAATGCATTTTGAACTTACATTCTATCCAATTTCAATAATCCTACATCATAATATTTAGAATTGGGCTTATATTCTGGATGCCTCAATCTTTCTGAAACGGTGAAGAGTTGAGAGTATTCGAAATTTTTGGGTGTGCCTGAATCAAAATCTGTAACACCCAACTGCACGAAATTCACAGAACCTCTGAAAAGTAGTTTTCGTTAAACGGGAACAAAAAATAATATTATGCTGAACTTACAAATTTTTGTCATAAACACAATGAGCTGCCGTTAAGACAAAGTTATCACTGATCAAAGAACCTCCACATGCCCAAATTATATTGTCTTCTTGGCCATAACCAAGACGCGCCTGTAATGAATTAGTACAACTTAATATTCTTACAAATTATTGATTGTACATATATTTAATATATTGTTTATAGATATAAATATACCATGTGCGGAAATTCGCGGTTTTGAGCTTTTTTTCCGCCTACTATAAGGGGCACTACCGTGTGTCCACATCGGTTCACGAGGACCTTTTTTGCAGAATTTGTTAGAGTGGGTGGAGTGATTTTTTCGCAAACTAAATGCGAATATTCTATACATTCTGAAAAGTTAAAAATGTAATGTTATTACTATATACTACCAAATGGTGCCAAATAAATAGATCATATCACATTTATATTTTTATTTTTGAAATTATTTGTCTTAACTGTTTTCCGCTTTGTCTTCGCCACTACCAAGAGGTCTAAGATTTTTGCAAGGATTTTCTTTTTTCTCTGAATTTGGTTGTGTTTCTGGTGCATCTTCCGATGTTGGGCAACATACTAAATGGCTTAGTTCACCAGCGCAGAAAGTAGGACTCGAACCAGATACAATCAGACTTTGAATAGCGGGACAAGAAGACAAATTCGAACAATCACCATGCCGATTATCATTAGTTGTGCATGTTTCGCCTTAAAAAACAGTCTATTGAGTTTTTTATTGCAAGTTTATATTAATTCGAGAAATAATACCGCTTAAAGTCTATATATATATATATATATATATATATATATATATATATGTATATTTTTAACTTATTTGTAATTATCGGTATGGCTGATTGCGCAAGTTATCATAGGTCGCGAAGACTAAGATAAACACCTAATCAATCATCTTTCATATACATTTAAATGCTGTTTTTCCAACAAATGCACTAAACATTTTTAATATAAATATGTATTGAACAATTTTTCAAATTAAATACCTTATGAGCCAAATGAACTAATGGGTATCTAACGAAAAAAAGACAAATTATATATGTACCTGTGTTGACTATAAAAATATTACGTTTGTAAAAAAATATTTAGAGAATTTTATGTATGAAACTCATATAAAATAATATTTGAAAATGTATTTTTCATTTTGGTATTTCACAAACAAAACAGTATGACAAAAAATTACTGACCTCGCACATGAGTTGATTGCAGAACAACACCAAAAATGCAGAGTAGTTTCAAGCTAAACATGTTATTTTTATAAAATAAATATATAAAACCTAAATTAACGTACACATTATTGATAGAATTTTAGAAATATTATTGACTGATGTTTATATGATAGGCATGCTTATATATGCGCTTATAATGGACATATGTATGTAGTATATAAAATGCTTAAATTAACAGATTAAAACATAAATACAGCAAATATAAATTCAACATATACAATTGCGCGCATACACAAACATATTTGAGAAGTATATTAGTGAGAAAACAAGTTTTACCCAACATATTTAACGATTACCATACACATCTGAAATATTATAAATTTAATTTATGATTATGTATGACATAAGTTAAAAATTCTTAGAACATTATACAAATACAAATACATTCTTTTATGATTATTATTCCGTACATTTAGTTAAAAAATGTTCAAATTTGTAACTGTTTCATCCAGAAACTTACATGCATTTGTAAGTATTATATTTTTGTTATCTAAACGAAAGGATAGGGGTCATAGATATATGGACCACAACAATTTAACACAAAGAAACTATAAAATTATTAACTTGATAAATAAAAATATAAGATTTTAAGATTTTTTGTAATATATATTTTATAAATAAAATATATAAAATATAATTTATATTTGTTTTTAATAATGCGCATGCATTTTCACTATTTCTTATAGTATACTAGTGTTGAGCATATTTTTAATTTTAATAATAGTGAATGCAGATAATTTCATATTTCAAATTTAAAATATTCAACAATTTATTTATATATTATTCTCAAACGGATTTGATTATAATTTCAAACAGAAAAGCCGTTAAAATTTTGACAGCAGTCGAACTGTCAAAATTGAGCGGTGTGAAGTTTTTCAGTTTTAGAAGGAGAGAGAAAGCAAATACGCTTGCGTATGGGTTGGGTGACGTTGATTAAGCTCGAGATTAATTTTCGAGTTTTAGTGTAATATACAATATTTCTTGATTACTTGTGAGATCAGTGTAATGAATACGTAAAAGCAGATTACAATAATTCTCCGTATTTCAAATATCGGCACGATAAGTTATACTGCCTCACCAGCAATATCGTGTATTGATTGACTGCTTGACTTCTTTAACACCGCCAACTAATTATTTAAATTGTGCATTTATCCTGTCAAAGGGATATTATCGTATAAAATTAATTATTTAAAAAGCAATAATAACAAGATGACAGATTCGAAATATTTTACGACTACAAAGAAAGGAGAAATATTTGAACTTAAATCTGAGCTCAACAATGATAAAAAGGAAAAGAAAAAGGAAGCTGTGAAAAAGGTAATTATTCCAAAGTGTTTCTGCTTTTAATATCATATATACTAAAACAATCATTGATTTTTTTTGTTTTAAGGTAATCACTTTTTATGGATTTATAGTTTTGCAATTTTCTAATTTTTTTTCTTAATTAATGTTCAATAATTTATGAGAGAGAACTTATTTTTTTGTTTTACGAATACAATATTTTTAACTTACTTTTAACCATCAACAATTCATTGTACTGCGAATATCATTAATATAAAAAATGCTCATATCTTTGCTTTTTGTATCTGAGAATCCGCCCACATTGGTCATGAACATAAAAAAATTCTTTGATATGGAAATCTTGCAACTATGTAATGTTTACACATTTCAATTCACATTTTTCAAATACATGTAGTTTTTTTTCAAATTATTTGAATTTTAGACATAACATGTATTTTCTGTGTCTTTAACAAAAATGACCGTTAGCATATCATATATACAAACATACATATATTTCGAAAAGTTATCAAAATTTATTCAGATGAATTTTTATATGTGGATTCTTTTTTAGGTCATAGCGAGTATGACAGTAGGAAAGGATGTATCGGCACTATTTCCAGATGTTGTAAATTGCATGCAAACAGATAATTTGGAATTAAAAAAACTTGTCTACTTATACTTGATGAATTATGCAAAATCACAGCCTGATATGGCTATTATGGCTGTTAACACATTTGTAAAGGTAAAATATGTAAATTTATTTTTGGATAATTTTATAATTCACAACTTCAGTTACATTATTTTGTTTCTCTAGTTACACTTCATATCATTTTCTTTTGCCATGGTAATGTACTTTAAAGGAAACTCAATTATTTACTTAAGATTAATATATTATAAAATATATATATATATATATATATATATATATATATTACTGGTTTACATATTTTTTTCACCTCGGCATACAATTATAAGATGTATTCAATATTTTGGGCCAATATTTTTATGTATTGAGAAAACATTTCATTTTCTTATGTTTTTATTCTGAACTTACATTGGATGATATATTTTTCAAACATTAAAATTGCAAGTTAGTTCTTATTTAATAATGCATTATTAGAGCATGTTTTGAATTCAATTTTGAAAATTTCGATATATTTAATAAATCCAAATTTTGCTAATAAACCTCACATGTTTATTCTGAAATGATTTTTTACTAAGAATTATTTACTAAAAGAAATGTAAATAATTTTTAAAGTATACCTTTAATAACTTCATAGAATATTACTGTGACAGACTATTTCTTTGTCAAAGAACAAGAAAAATATATATTTTGTATATATATATATATATATATATATATATATATATTATAATTACAATCTAATATATACATGTATATTGCATGATGTACCATATAAAAATATTGATCAATGTACACTGATAATCGTGTTATTGTTTGATTATTAGTTTTTTTTTTTTTTAATTCTGCTGAAAAAGGATTTGCCTTCAACCCAGCTTGCCAAGGTAAACAATACTCCATGACTAAAATACTTTTACAGCTTTGAGATCATCGATAGATTATAATAATTATAATAACAATAAATTCATTAGTACGATTACCATATATCAATGTATTTGCATATGCATAAGAGCATATATTTATATACATATACATATAAGCAATTTCATGAATACATACCATGGCATTTGATTTTTTTTTATTTATTTTTAGTAAATATAAATTAATACCATTGTTAATTCAGCTTTTTTTTACTTCCTTGAAATGAATGAAGTGTACATTTTATTTTTTCCATGTTTATTTTACTATGTATATAGTATGCACGTTTCACTTAGTAAAACACATTCCACATCTTAGTGATGCAATGACACAAATAGTTTTATTGCATGTGGATGTTCTTTTTAAACTAGACCGTGATTTCATATACTTCTTATATTTATGATTTAATATACTTATTCAACATTTAATAGGATTGTGAAGATCCCAATCCACTAATTCGAGCTTTGGCTGTTCGTACTATGGGTTGTATCCGTGTTGATAAAATAACTGAATATCTTTGTGAGCCTTTGCGTAAATGTCTGAAAGATGAGGATCCATATGTCAGAAAAACAGCAGCTGTGTGTGTTGCTAAGTTATATGATATTTCATCAAGCATGGTAGAGGATCAAGGGTTTTTAGATCAGTTGAAAGATTTATTGAGTGATTCCAATCCAATGGTTGTTGCTAATGCTGTTGCTGCTTTGTCGGAAATAAATGAAGCTAGCCAGAGTGGTGTACCACTAGTTGGTAAGCAGTTATGATAAATAAAACAAATTACTATGTATAGTTTTTTCAACTTTTTTTAAAATTTACCATCTTCAATTCCTTTCACTATTCTAAATAATTTTCTAACATTTACTGAACATTTTTATCAGAAATGAATTCAGCAACTATCAACAAACTTTTGACTGCCCTAAACGAATGCACAGAGTGGGGTCAAGTGTTTATTTTGGATTCTTTAAGCAACTATAGCCCCAAAGATGAGAGAGAAGCACATAGCATTTGTGAAAGAATTACTCCAAGACTTGCACATGCAAATGCTGCTGTTGTACTCAGTGCCGTTAAAGTAAGACTATCAGCTCAAGTATTAGCTGTTCATAATGATTTTGAACTTTAATATATAATTTACTGAAAAAACACATTATGTTCCTTATAAACAATATAGATTATTTATTATTTGACTTGTAGGTGCTGATGAAGTTAATGGAAATGTTATCTGGAGACACAGAATTCTGTGCAAATTTGAGCAAGAAATTAGCACCGCCTCTTGTCACATTACTAAGTTCTGAACCAGAAGTTCAATATGTTGCTTTGAGAAACATCAATTTAATTGTTCAAAAACGACCGGATATTCTAAAACATGAAATGAAAGTGTGTGATAACGTCTACATAATAAATTATTATTCTCTACAAATCTCTACTAATGTTCTTTTAATTTTAGGTATTTTTTGTAAAATACAATGATCCAATATATGTCAAATTGGAAAAATTAGACATTATGATCAGACTTGCTTCACAACACAACATTGCACAGGTTCTCAGTGAGTTAAAAGAGTATGCTACAGAAGTTGATGTGGACTTTGTTAGAAAAGCAGTCCGAGCTATTGGGCGATGCGCTATTAAGGTGAAGCATTGAATAATCTATAAACATTTTATTTTTACGATTTTCTAATGTAACTAAATTGTTCTGAATTATTAATCAGGTTGAGCCTTCAGCTGAGCGTTGTGTATCAACATTATTGGATTTGATACAAACGAAAGTGAATTATGTAGTTCAAGAAGCTATTGTTGTAATAAAAGATATATTCCGCAAATATCCAAATAAATATGAAAGCATTATAAGCACTTTGTGCGAAAATTTGGATACATTAGATGAACCAGAAGCTCGTGCTTCCATGGTATGGATAATTGGTGAATATGCAGAAAGAATTGATAATGCTGATGAGTTGCTTGATAGTTTCTTGGAGGGATTCAGTGATGAAAATGCTCAAGTACAATTACAGTTGCTAACAGCTGTGGTAAAACTGTTCCTTAAAAGACCAGCTTACACTCAGGAATTAGTACAACACGTTTTAAGCTTAGCCACTCAGGTAAATTAGAAAATAAAAAAATTCTTTTAGAAAATTTTATAATTTGTTTATAAAAACGTTACATATATATGCAGGATTCAGATAATCCAGATTTACGTGACCGTGGTTTTATTTACTGGAGATTATTAAGTACTGATCCTGCAGCCGCTAAGGAAGTTGTTCTTGCAGAAAAACCACTTATTTCAGAAGAGACAGATTTACTGGAACCAACACTGCTCGATGAATTAATATGCCACATCAGCTCATTAGCTTCAGTGTATCACAAGCCCCCTACAGCATTTGTTGAAGGTATTTTACAAAATGTTTATATATTATTTTGTTACTTTACAAACTAGTTAGCTTAAAATATATCTTTCTTATATTTTATGCTATTTCGAAAGTTGTATTTAACATCTATTTGCGGAACAATACTTACAATTATTATGGTACAGGACGCGGAGCCGGCGTGCGCAAATCTTTGCCTTCTCGGGGCGTTGCTTCAGAAGATTCTACAGTCACAAACACTGCCGAAGTTATACCTAGCCAAGATTCATTAATTGGTGACTTGCTTTCTATGGATTTGAATCCGCCAAGCATTCCAGTTGCTCAAAACATTCCAGCTTCAAGTAATATAGATCTCCTAGGAGGAGGTTTGGATGTACTAGTGAGTGATAAAAAACATTTATTATGATCTTGGTTTACGATATGCTTTTAAACTGATTTAAGAAAAATTAAAAGCACTTTTTACATTTCTACAAGTGACCTTTTGCATTTGCAGCTAAGTACATCAGATGTCAATTCTACTAATAACATCGGTAACTCTGGACTTCTGGGAGAAATATTCTCTGTGGGATCAGCTGGCCCTTTTGTTATACCAAAAGCATTGTGGTTGCCAGCTGAAAAGGGCAAAGGTTTGGAAATATATGGAACATTCTCCAGGAGAAGTGGACAGATTTACATGGACATGAGCTACACCAACAAAGCAATGCAAGCTATGAGTGGTTTTGCCATACAGTTGAATAAAAACAGGTAATAATTATTTTTTAATTATATGATAAATGATTTATTTAATATTACTTATAATTATAGCTTTGGTCTGGCACCTGGTGCACCATTACAAGTTCCGAATTTGCAACCATCACAAACATATGAAACATCATTGGTTCTTGGAACAAATGGAGTTGTTCAAAAAATGGAGCCATTAAATAACTTGCAAGTAAGAAATAAATTGTATATTTGTAGTTTTCAGTACAACTGAATTAAATGTGCATATCATTTTACAGGTGGCCGTAAAAAACAACGTTGATGTATTTTATTTTGCTTGTCAAGTACATAGTCAAGTTCTGTTCACCGAAGATGGTTTACTAGATAAACGTGTTTTCTTGACTACTTGGAAAGACATTCCAGCTGCTAATGAAGTATGTAGTTAATTTTTATAAATCTATCAATTTGATGAATTGGTATTATTCTTATTTATTTATCAAAATAGGTTCAATATTCATTGAGCGGCTTACAAGGAAATGCTGATTCAATAGCTCAGAAAATGCAACAAAATAACATTTTTACAATTGCCAAGCGAAATGTGGAAGGCCAAGATATGCTTTATCAATCACTCAAGTTAACAAATAATATATGGGTTTTATTGGAACTGAAATTACAACCAGGTAACAGCATTTTTATAAATATAACCAAGTTATTACAATTTTATAAAAAAAAGACAAATTATGACCATCTATTTTTGAGCAGGTAATCCTGATGCAACATTAAGTTTAAAATCAAGATCTGTTGAAGTAGCACCATGCGTTTTCCAAGCATATGATAGTATCATTCGATCTGCTTAAAAACATTAATGTATTATACTTAGTTATTAATTATTGTTATATATAATATTATGCATAAAATTCAATGGTAAACAAATACTATATAAATATATCATGTTATATATAATCTTGCTATCTTTGATTAATATTCGATCTACATCCATTTTGTTTTTCTATAGATCATATACTATTTATTTACTAACAAAAAATTTATGATATATTTTGAAATATTTTTTTAAATTAAATATGATTTTCAAATAAACAAATTTATTTAAATATAAAAAAACATTTTATTGTCTTAATTTTATTTTGAATACATAAATAACATTTGCCAGCTTAAAAATCATGTTTTCTTAATACCATGCTCCTCTAAGAACTTTTGAAAAGATTCTGCCTCCTTGATTTCGTCATCATCTAAACAATAAAAAATATCATAAGCAAATACTGATTAATTTGAACAGAACATAATAAGACAATTGAACCATGCGCTTTAAAAAAAAAAACTTTTATAGTTTAAGAAAATTTCAGTAACACATTAAATCATTTTGAAAGGATGTAGTGCAATCAACATTTGGATTCAAACCTATTTCTACTCCTTCCTCATCATCTTCATCATCTGAAGAATTTGCATTTTTAAGGAAAACTTCAGATGTTGTACTTGGCACACTCTGTAATAAAAAAAGTAATATTGCATGTAACTCAATCAAAATAAAAATAATATTGCAATAGCTTACATTAAAAAATCCAGTTAATGAAACTTCTTTTCCTTTAGAATTCTTCAAAGTTTCCTTCAAGTTGTTTTCTAATGCGGACTGCTCTTTTTCCAATTTATTCTGTTTCATTTTCTCATACTCAACTTTGTACACACTAAAATTTCAAATATATATTATTTCCAAATTTAGTAGCTTGCACAAAAAAGCACATACTTTTCATATTCTTGAGCAGCATCTTCTAATTTAGAAAAAAATTGATTCAGCCCCACTCCAGTCAATGATGATACTCCACACACACTTAAATTTTGATAAAATTCATCAAGAACAAGAGACATAGATCGTGTTAAGTTTCCCATATAGCTTTTTTCAGTTTCTAAGGCTTCTTGAAATATTTCAAAATCTTGCATCCAGTCAATTGCAAAACTGTGATCAACTATGTCAATCTTTGAATAAATTGTAATATAAATTAAATTCAATCCTAAGTTATTTATTGGGATGAATTTAATATATAAATGAATCTGCAGAAACAACTTAGCAGAACATATTTAGTATGCTAGGGTTTGGAATATATAACTTACTTTATTCATTACCACAATGAATGGAAGTTTTGATTTATACAATATTGAACAGGCATAAAGCATATTCGACATAAATGTAACTGGACTAACACTACGTGCTGTATCCATTACATAAACTATCAAAGTCGGAAAGTGAGCAGCTAATGCTTCTGTAATAATTACACCTGATGCTGACCAAGTGAATACTTCAATTTGCCCTGTAACAAACAACGAAACATAAATATAAGCACAATTTATAAACTATTAGAAAAAGTGGCAGAACATGATATAGAAGAAGAATAGCACAAAACTTCTCAGTAAAATATATAATAAACATAAAAATAATTGGTTGGACGAAACTCGAAAGGTGTAATATATATATATATATATATATATATATATATATCATATCAAGTATTTTTTGATAAAACCATGCAATAGAGGACACAACTTGTTCTATTATTCTGTTACATTAGCTAGCAATACGAAATTTACCTGGAGTATCGATAATACAATATTTATGACCATTTTTGCCTGCAGTTTCTATTAACTCTATAACTTTATCAAATTTGGTTGTAAATAAATTTAAAGCTGTGACAATGCCACCGTTTGGACCAAGTCCATACTGTTTCATTACTTCTTTATAATTTACAGTATCCCTTATATCAATGTGGGAATGGTAAGGAGTCTCATTGCAAGCTGGATCTAAGTTTATCACATACGGTTTATATTGATCATATTTGTAGGAAGAGAGCTTTTTTGACAAACGAGGTTTTGCCTGAACCTGCCATTCCCAATATTATAACGCATGTTGGTTTATTATTTGGATCAGGCTCTGCAGCTTCTGCCATTTTTTATTGATAAGTTAAATTACCTAAAATGCAATAGGTGAATTTTATATATAATAATTATAACGTTATCTTTGATGAAAATAACAACACGCAATTCATAAACAATTTAAAAGTACGTAGTTCTCATTATAACCTATGAATTATTTTGTATTTGTACATAACCTCAATAACATTCTGATTGGATTAAAATGGCGTTGAATCAGCTGTATAGTCAAGGTCACATATATTTACTTGGCAGTGATGACAGATTTTTAAGTCAAAAATCTGTGTTTCTATAAAGCGTTTAAGCAATTGATTATTAAAATTAATTAATAAAATTAAAAGATCATTGGGAGACGTTGGTAGTATCATTTGAAATATAACCTACTCTTCAAACATGAGCGATAATGATAACGAAAATGACAGTGATGATGTATTTGGTAATGTTAACCTAAATCATGTATTTTGCTGTATCAATCGAATTCAATAGCTTCTTCTTATGTATATTAATATATACTTTAAATTTATTTCTATCTTTATTTTGATGTAATGATGTAATTGATGGTTTATTTACAGATCCATCACTTAGCGATTCCGATCAACGTGAAGTTATAATAATAGAGAGATTGCACTTTTCACCAATAATTTCAAGTGATTCAGAAGATTCTATTGATTCTATTGATGAACAAGATATACAAGTCATTAATTTGGAAACCAACAATGATTCCGATGAAGAAATGGTCGACTATAATAGAGATTTGCCAGGAGAACATACAGTATTATTATATTTTTTCTATAATGATTATTTAGTTTTATTTTTCTATAAATATGTAAAAAAACTCTTTTAATCATCTTTAATTGATTTCAGTATTTGGGAACAGATATGCTGCCTGTATCTGGATGCTTGGTATTAGAGCAAAATTCAGTATATGAACTACCGTTATTAGCTCATCACTCCCTAATTTTTCCAAATCAAATTTTGCCAATGATGCCCCATATAATGCATGCTTCTAGACTTTCTAAAGAAATAGAAGGCAGTCATGTCTTTGGTCTTGTTTGTCCTAAGTTAGTATCAAAGATATTATTTTATGGGTCCAATAATGTAAATAGTAGTTTACATATTGTTTTTTTCAGTGAGACAGGCAAAGAAATGTTTGAATATGGTATCATATGTGAAATTTTTGAAAAAGAGCCCGATCATGACACGGATATAGTCAGAGTTAAAGCACGAGGGAGGCAAAGATTTAGAGTTTTAGGACCAATGAAAGGATTAAGAGATTATCTTAGGTAATATAAAACATTATGCTACACCTAAACTTGAATATTCACAAACCATTACCAATTTCAGCATTGTTTCACAACAAGTAATGATTCTACCTGAATATGCTTTAACTGATCCTTTATCATGTGCACACTTAAGCAGTTTGGATAAATATAGACTTCAAGTTTCAAGCAAAAATATGTCTGCAGCGGCAAAAAAGAGACATACTTATTTAACATGTTGGCCCATGTTTGTTTTTAATCAGTATGATTTGGGTGATATAGTTGAAAAAATTAGAAAATACTTTAGGCAGCTTAATATAGGTAAGAGTTTATTGAATTGATAATTGTATTATTAATTTTAATATATATATATATATATTATATAATAAATTTATTGCCATTTTTAACAAACCTCATTATAAAATGTGATTATTGTATTTATATAAAATCAAATTTATTTTTGATATTTGCACACATATGGGAAAATTTTGTGTGGTTAAAATATTTTTTTAATAGCTTATTATTATAAAATATTATGATCACAATTATTTTACATAGCTATGGTAGTTTGTTGGATTTGTTTTTGTGTTTCAAATTCAAATTCTGAAATAAAATCCGCCAACTGTTAAAGCCATGAAGTTAGATGGGAGGTTATGTTTTTGTGTCAAAAGGATTGTAGATTTGTGATTAAATGTTGATGTCAAGTGAGTGTTTTAATAATTGTAAATAAATATGTGTAAATAATAAGAGTGTACAGTACTCGTGTAAATATTAAATATTAATTTATTTATAATATGTGTGTTTTAAGAAAAATAAGTTGGAATTTATTCGTAAGAAACCAATATAAATAATAGCTGAAATGGCGTCTCCACCTCAAGACAATGAAAATAATATGAGTAATATTTTTATGACGAATTTAAATATTGCTTCAATAGAAGCTAAAGATGAAACGACCACGCAGACCGAAACTACAAAACAAGGATTGTGTGCTAAAAATCCAGTTTCTTATAAGTTACCAGCTGGAAATTTAAAAGATATTCCAGTAGAAGAATTGCTTGGTTCAGTGACTACTTTTAACAATGCTCAAGGAGGTACTGAACAAGCATTAAGAACAAGTGCTAGAGTGATAAAAAAATTACAGCAAGACTCTTTAGTGAGTGTAAACAGCGATAAAGATAAGAAGGATGTTAAAATTGATGAAAAACTTGAAAATAAACCCAAACCCAAACTTCCAAAAGCATCTTGGTCTCTCATTGAAAAAAATTTATTTTTTGAAGCACTAAATGAATATGGTAAAGATTTTGAGTCTGTTACTCAATATATAAGCAGTAAAATGAAAAGACGTGGTGTGAGTGATAATTTAATAAAAACTAGAGAACAAGTGCGACATTTTTATTATAGAAACTGGAATAAAATATCCAAATTTATTTCGTTTAATACTGAAATAAAAAAAGTGGCCCAAGAGTTGTATCTTCTAATTAATTATGGAGAAATGAGAAAGAAAATATTTCTAATAAATGAGAAAACAGCATTGAAATTAGGTGAATTAATTTACCGTGGTTCAGTTCCACTTAGGATGAAAGGAAAAACATTCAGGATTAAAACCCCTATGTGCAAAGCTTTAAGGAAATTAAATGAAATGGAAGAATGGCAAGAAGAACTTAAGTTGCCAACGAGAGTTTTAGTTATACTTCAACCAAGTAATGTTGAAGCTTGGCATCGAGTGCAGTCTGTTGCTCATAATCCACGAGTAACAGCAATGATACCAATTCAAAGACGGTAAGTCTTTCATTTGCATTTTGTTGAAACATTGTTTGAAAAATTAAATTCACTTTTAATATTGATTGCAATGATTTCACATATATATAAAAAACACAAATTGTACAAATTATATTAATCTAAGTATCTTCTATTTTTCAGTCTTTCCAACCTATTATCAATATTGAATGAGAGATGGAAAACTTATGACACAAAATTATTGCAAAAGTTGGTGGATATAGATGAATGCGTAATTTCTAATAAAAGTTTATCATCTCAAGAGTTATTACATTTTGGACCAAAGGCTGGTGTCCATATTAATAAACCTATTATAAATTTAAGTGAATACATCACTAGCAATAGAATTTGTTTGAACTCATATGAAGAGAGGCTGGGCATCACAGAAAAAAGTGAAACCATTTTTGCCCGCACCATACAAAATTTCAAAGGTGGTGGAGCAAAGAAAGGAACAAAGAGACAGAGATCTGATAGTGGAGGAGATAAAAAAAATTTAGATACCAATGATATTTCTAATAAAAAAGCCAAAATTGAAAATGAATCTCTAGAAGACAAAGCGAATGATGGTTTTGATATGATTAGTCAAACAATGCAAAATGATCAGAATCTGTCACAATTGGAATTGAGTAAGGATTTACAAGTGGCCCCTGGTATTAAACTTGATACTGCTGTTAAAGATGAGTGCCCAGAAACAACTGAAATCAAAGTTGAAACTAATGTGATTCTCAATCAGATGGATCTGAAAATTGAAAAAATATTTTCAAATCAGAAAGAAAACATTGCAGAGAAAAATGTAGTAATTACTAATCAAATGGAAGCTGGTATTGACAAAACTTCATTATTATCTAATCAAAAAGATGCTAAAGTTGATAAAAATATCCCCGTTACAAACCAAAAGGCTGAAGTAAAATCCAAAATAAAAGATAGGGTTAAAGTAATACGTAAAAGACAAAGGATTATAAACAATAAAAGCTTGGATAAGGAAACAGAAACCAAAATACAAGATATTTTCAAATATGGTTGGACTATAGAAGATGCAACAGATGTTACATTTGGGGATTTATATTTAATGTTTGGATCAAATTCCAAATTACAACTTGAATACTGGTGGGACAGCGTGAGTAAACCTGCTATAGACGAGACTGAGTCTGTACTTAAAACAATGAAAGATGATATTCAACTGAAAGATTCTACGCAAGGGGAATTAAAAGAGCAAGAAAAATCATCCAAAGATCAAAACGAAAACTTTCCAAGAAAAACAAATGATACCATAATTTCAGATATGCATACGTTATTACCACACAAAACAGATATTCCAAAAAATTTGAATGTGGTGTCAAGTGAACCAGAGCAAATTGTTAAAACAACAGAACTTACAAGACGCTTAAAGCAATTGCTGTTTTGTATACAAACAAATGAAAAAGCAAAGAGCACTTGCTTATGTGGCCATGTTTGTAATAATAAATCTAATCAGAATTTAATAAATACAGATTTTAATAATGAATATCAAACAACTAATAATGCTATGCAAAGATCTATTCTTCCTATTGTGAGAAATAATACTATGTTTAGGCAACCATTTCCTGTTACATCACAAGCAGTTGAAGATTTTGAAAAGCAAATAAATTCAATTATGAAGACAAAACCAAGGTGGAATAATAGGCAAAACAGGTTTATTGGTAACAAACAAGTAGTTCAGAGAATGCTTCCCTTAGTTCCAAATTCATCTACAAGCAATTTTTCAAATTATTCTCATTCAAATTTGGGACATCAATCAAGAATTGCAACGAGGCAATTAAATTTTGGGGCAGATGCTGCTCAAAACTTTCCTAGAAAAATAGAATCAAAGGTGGTTGAAGAAGTTAAAAAACCCATTTTACCAGCAAATCCGTTTGCTAAAAGTAATATTCGACATAGCAGTTTGATAAAAAATAAAACATTGAATAAACAAGTTTCTTGTACAGTTGTGAAAGAAAATGACAAAACAGCTGAAACTATATTGAATGAATCTAAAATAGTAGAAAAAAGTGTAACCAAGGAAGTAATTTCTGAGTTGATTGATGATATTTCAATAGGTTCCTCTACAATAGCTGAAGCAAAAGCATCTATGATAAGAAATGATAATCTTGATGAAATTTTAAATTCTAGTCCCACTCCTGAGACTTTTAATACTTCTTGTGTTTTAAATACTCCAGAAAATACTTGGTTTAATTCTGAATTGCATGATTTTTCTTTAAGTAGTTTTTTGGGACATTTAGAGAGTCCAATAAAACCACAAGGAACATCATCAGAAGATGCAAAGATTTGTCAAGATGTTGATGTCAATATGCAGTCATTATTGAATGAAAATAGTGAAGATTATATGGCTAAATTTGCTGCTTTAGCTGCTCGAATTTCAAATGAAAATTCGAATAAGTAATCACTTATATATTTAAATTATGTTTAAGTTTTATATTATGTTGTGATATAGCATACAGTTATTTTATGTCAAAACATGCTCTGTTATTTATTTGTTCTGTGTTTTTGAAATATAGAATTTTTATCTATTATGCATTTTTATCTGAAGATCTGTTTATCATATGTTTGTAAAAATAGTAGAGGTAAACTCTACATTAATAGTGGAGTATTTACCTGAGTTTTCAAGAAATTTACTGATTTATATCAGACTGTTTATCAGCTTATAGGATTTAATTAACTTCCCGTAGGGTAAGTTTATAACTCAATTATCAAAAATCGAATCAAAAATTTTTACATTTTCTCGACGTTTGAAGGTTTTTGAACATTTTGGCATACTTCAGAAAAAATGGATGTGTGTGTGTGTGTGTGTGTGGTGTGTGTGTGTGTGTGTGTGTGTTTTGTTGTCCGCTTTTTTCGTCCACGTTTTCGGGCGCAAGATCAACGATTTGAATGGTTTAAAAAACATTCGATTCCTATTGATAGGGAGAGGTGCTGATTAGTTTTTGGCAAAGGCAGGTCCCAGCCGTACGGAGATATGGAGCAAAGAGTGCAAAAAATAGAAAGCGAATTTTTGAGAGAACGGATCAACCGATTTGAATGGTTTAAAAAAACATTCGATTCCTATTGATAGGGAGATGTGCTGATTAGTTTTGGCAAAGGTAGGCCCAGAGGTTTCGGAGTTACAGAGCTAAATTTAAAAAAAATGGCGTTTTTGAGAGAACTAAGCGTCCGATTAAATGATTCCAAGAACTTTCTGCTTTTTCAACAAAACAATTGATTTTGGAAAAAAAAATTTTTGATTCTAATTTTTTTTCAAAAAATTTTTTGTAATTTTGGACTAAAAATTCAAAAAATCACCCAAGCTAAGCACAGTCTAAGCGCCACTCTGGTACAATGTTTACCCAAGTGCGTTTAGACTGTTTGTGTACTGGAGCACTTTTCCAATTTGTGAAAATTATTGAAAAATGTGAAAATGCCGCCAAGCTGAGCACAGTATAAGTGAAAATATCGCACAGAATTATTTGCAAATGCGTTTAGACTGTGACTAGCTGGAGCACTTTTTCAATTTGTGGAAATTTGGACAACTATTTTTTTTTTTTGAAATTTGATTCGAATGAAATGAACGATTGGTAATGTTCTGGAGATGATAAATTGATTTATTTATAATTAACTTTCCGTAGGGTAAGTTTATAGTAATCGCACAAAAATCGAAAATGAAAATTTTTATATATCTTTACGTTTCAGAGGTTCTGAATATTTTGGCATACCTTAGAAAAAATGGATGTGTGTGTGTGTATGTGTGTGTGTGCGTGCATTTGTGTGTGTTCAGATACAAATTTTCGTCGACGATTTCGGGAATCGGGATGAAGCAATTTGAATAATTCAAAAACATTTTACTTGCATTATCAAGATGAAGATTTGATGAAATTTTTATGAAATTAGGTCTAGCGGTTTCGGAGATCTAGTAAAAAAAGTAAAAAAAATAACATTGGCGGTCAACAATAATCATTAGACATTAGACATATGCACATCAAATTATCAGATATTTTATAGAGATTTTAACAATGAGTATACATTTGTTAACATTCTATGGGTTCCGTACCAATGCTTATGCGTTAGACAGCGACGCGGCGCATTACGCGCTTCGATATTTAGTCTCTATGCATTAAAGCAGTA